CTACGTAGCAAGACCCTGTCTCAAAGAAAAAAAAAAAAAAGTTTGGACTGGAGCTGTAGCCCAGTGTCAGAGCATAAGGCCCTGGGTTCAGTCTTAACCCCGACAGAAACAGGGGAAATGAAGTTAGAACTGAAGTGATTGTATCCTACTGATCCATCTCCACCCTCGTTCAGTTTGCCGTTACTGTTTGAGAACAAAAGCAAAATGTGAATCTCATTAAAAACACCAAGGTAAGCTTTCTTCCTCCTGTGGAGCTTTCCGGAAGTTTAGCTGACATTCCCATGTCCCCATCCAGGAGGACCGAGCACCTGTCTTTGATTAAGTCAGAGATTCTCAGTGAGTCCTCCTCGTACCCTTTACCAAAGAAGAGTAAAGGCAGAGAGAAATTGGGACCACATCCCTAATGAACCACTAAAAAAAAAAAAAGAAAGAAAGGAAAAAAATCTATGCTTCCTTGTGAAGCCTTATTTTTTGTCTAGAAAAACAAGGTACTTGTGTATATTGTATTTTATAACATAAAGCTAAGTCATAACATGCTTAAAATTTTCTGTGCTCAATTCCAGAAACATTGAACTGATCATGTACAATATGTACTTTATAAATATGCATATACACCCCTCATGAAACTGTGTCCACATGTGGTTCTGTCCCAGTGTCGTGTCACATTTAATAACACTTAAAATGACACACAAATAATCAAAAGGAATCCAGAGGCCAGTGTGGTGGTCCGTGCTTGTAATCCAGTATTGCAGAGGGTGAGGCTGGAAAGCAAACCTGAAGCCAGCTTGAGCATCATATGGATTCTTAAGAAGGAATTTGAGATTGGATTTCCTACCTGATGTCTAATTCCCATTTCCACTCAGCAGTAGTTCTCGGATTCCATCATCTGCTTTCCTTACTCGCCACTACTCCAGCTTCATTCACCACCTTTCTGCACGCCCCCCAGCTTTTACCTTCTCTCCCACTAAACTCTGTCCTCTTCTCACCGTGGACCTACATCACCTTTCCAGAGAAGGACTACTCACATCCCCACCCTCTAGTTCCAGGCAAAGGGGAAAGGAGGCTGGGTGCAGAGTGATGGGGAAGGAGTGATAATGGACCAACTATGAGAGTGTTCTGGGCAGAGAGGGGGCGTCTCTAAACATCTGGAGGCTGGGTGCAGTGATGGGGAAGGAGTGATAATGGACCAACTATAAGGGTGTTCTGGGCAGGGAGAGGGCGTCTCTAAACATCCTGGAGGCTGGGTGCAGTGGTGGGGAAGGAGAGATAATGGACCAACTATAAGGGTGTTCTGGGCAGAGAAAGGGCGTCTCTAAACATCCCCCTCTTAATCATTTGCGTCCTGGCACACCAGCATAGAAATATTTTGTTCCATACTGTGTACTAATGACAGGTTAATATATCATTTTGTTCATGTGTCATTGGAAGTTTGGGAGAGAATTCATTATTCTACCTACCACCGTCAATCATTATGTTAATAGTGATGAACTATATTTTAATCCAAATCTGAATTTTAATTCAATTGTAATATTTTAAGAACAAGCTTTGGAGTCCATGTAAAATTGTAAATACACATTTTGTTTCCCTGACCACATGCTGTATGGAAAATCAGGAAATCACTGAGTTAAATACAATTTATATATCACAGTCTTTGTGTGTGAACCCATGTACCTCTGTGACAAATAATGGCTGGCTTCCCATAGTGTCACTTGATAAAAAATCATTATCTTTATACCAAGCAACTAAAACATTCAAAATGGATATTATGCAAACTAGGCACTGGATTTTTTTCTTCTGAATCATTTTAGCTCAATGTCCACCTTGAACAGATTGTATCTTATCATACAAGCAACTGGAACAATGTTATTGCTGATTTCTTAAACTGTTACAAGCATTAATTGTGAACCTTTCTTTGGTATTTGTGACTGGTGGAGTCCATTTAGTTACATTTGTTTGGCAAATGTGTCTATCAGGTACCTTCTATAGAAAAGGTTCTAGGTAGATGCTGGCAATGGAGGATCACACAAGGATGGTAGGCAAGGAACCAATATATATATATATACAGGAATCTGATAAATCACCCCTACAAACACTAGTGGTGGTGCACACTATTGTCTCGGCACTTGGGAAGATTTGGAGTTCAGACCCACGCTGGACTATACACACACACAGCTGGGTAGAAACTGTTCAGTGTCCTCAGAGAAGTTTAGAAAGTGTCCATGGAGTCTCAATAAGAGAGTGGTGACTCAGAGATGGGAGGTTCGAAGAAAGCATCCGAATCCGGGAGAAGGGGCAGTTGATCTTGACCTTGGTGACTGTGTTGTATTTGGATGTGTAGAAAGTGCAAAGGATTTTGCAGGGAAGAATTGTTAAATCAGGAACTATTTCGATATGGGATGGAGTGATTTGTTCTATGTGAGGAGAAAAGAGAGAGAGAGGATTTGACAGCTAGAAAAGCAAGGAGGATCTTCTTCACAGGTTGTAGATATTCAGAAAAGGGCAGGGGTTCCGGCACTGACAAGCGAGTAGGTGAGATTCTAGAGGAGAAGTGTGAAAAGCAGGTTAGGCAGAAGGACCACAGGCCCAGGATAGTCTGGGCAGTGTCCTGAACATAACGTGAGGTTTATGGCGGTCAGTGTGTATGGAAAGCAAGGCAGACTATGAGATGAGTAGGAAGGAGGGATGGGGACAGATTCTGACAGGAACTGTGTGCTGAGCCAGGGAGTTGGTGCTTCACCCGCACAGACAAGAGCAGGTTTCTGAGAAGGGTGAGTCAGATAGGCTACAGGCTCGCAGGCTTCCCCAGTAAATGGCTGCTCGGAACGATTTCAGACTCTGTGAACCACAGTCTCTGTTGGCAACCTCACCGACATCTTTCTTCTCTCTCTCCTACCCTCCCTCCCTCCCTCTCCACTTCCCCTCCTTCTCTCCCTCCGTCTCTCTCCCTTTTCCCTCCTCCTCTCTCCATTTCCTCCCTCTTCCCCTTCTATCCCTCTCTTCCTTCTGAGTCTCTCTCCCTTCCTCTTATCTTTGCCCTTCCTTCTGTCTCTTTCCTTCTTTCCTTTCTCTTTTTGAGACAGAGTCTCAGGTGGCCCATGTGGGCCTTAAACTCACTATGCAGTGGAGAGTGACCCTGAATTTCTAATCCTCCTGTCTCCACTTCCCAAATGACTTCCTTCTTTTTATACAACCTTTTAAAAAGTATAGAAAACCATTCTTCCTCCCAGCCATACAAAAGCGGGCCCCAGTCGGCCTTGGGCCCTCTGTCCATAGGTGTAGTCCTTGGCCTTGAGTAGGGAAACAGAAGAGTCTCTGAAATGTGGAACCTGGCCGTGATGCTCAGCAGAGTGGGGCTGGTCTGGGTGAAAGAGCTAGTCCTGAGGAAGTGGATGGCAATCCCAGAAGCAGATCCTCTCGGTGACTGCACGTGAGAGATGAGAAAGAAGGGATAGACGTGATTCAAGGCTTCTGGCTTAACAACTAAGCACCTAAACTGTGGGACTAGAGTCACCCCACACCAAATGAGGGAGGAGTTAAGAGAAAAAGATGTAAGGGTTTTGAAGCTGCTGAGCCCAGTGGGTCTGAGTGGCATCCAGGTGAAGGGTGCCTGCAGCCAGGTGGCTCCGTGGGCCACCGTTCCATCCACAATATGTGTCTCACAGGAGCCTCTGAGGGAATGGACACAAATGTTGGGCGTCCCAAGAGGCTACAGGACAGGGGAGAGCTGGTACTTAGGAGCACCAAACCAGCATCAGGTCCCTTGGATGACACTCTTCCTCAGCCTAGACAAAAGGAGCGGAGAGTCTCATGGTGGGGAGCATCAGGCACAATATGGGGCGGAACAGAAGAAAAGATAACAGAAGGGGAAATATAATGGGACAGAATCATGAGCCTTAGCACTGTGCAGATAAGAGAGGACAGAGCGCCAGGCAGTGGTGGCACACACCTTTAATCCCAGCACTGGGGAGGCAGAGGCAGACAGATCTCTGAGTTCAAGGCCAGCCTGGTCTACAGAGTGAGTTCCAGGACAGCCAGAGCTGTTACACAGAGAAACCCTGTCTCAAAAAGCTGAAAGAGAGAGACTTGGGGGTTTGGGGGTGGGAGAGAGGGAAGAAAGAGAGAGAGGAGAGAGAAGAGAGGGAGAGAGAGAGGACAGAGGACCTTCTGGGCATCATCCTCATGTCAGTGCCGTGACAACCTGTCCGTTCACTGGTTCTTTTTTAGAAGTTTTGCTAAGTGACACAGATGTGCTCCATCACATGTGGTTTGAAAATAACCCTTTAAAATGACTCTATGACTTCCATACGGTGCTGTGGTCACTGAGCCATTTGAAGGGTACTTTCTGTCATACAAAGAATTCATCCTAGGGTTGTATATGGTAAGTTCGTACTTCAGCTGGAGGTCAGCTAATGACTGGATGACTCTCAGAGCACACAGTACCATGCTTTCCTATCCTTTCAGTTTCTACAGAGTAGCTGGTTGTAGCGTAGGGGAGGACAGTCATGTCCCACCTGAAGAACACTCAGCATCTTCTCCATTAACAGGTCCAACGAAATGTGGAGGAAAAAAAATAGGCGCACATTTGGTGAAAGAGTCGGAAAAACAACTGTAAGGTTCTGGAACGTAGGCACATCTTGGAATTGTCTATAAACCTAAGCAGATCTCAGTCAGAATCACTTGCATGTCGCTGGCCTTCCCTGTTAGATTCTGTCCTGTTAGATATGAAGGTTTTTATTTTTAGCTGGTCTCCTAAAAAGTCCGAGTTCATTGAGATGTGGTCACTGTCTGCATCTGTCTTCCCAGTGCATGAAGCTGCTGTGTGAAGAATACACACACCATCTCTGTCCACACTGCACACCTCCTGCTAACACTCAGGATGCTCAGTGGTTACGATAGGAAGGGCACAAACCACTTTTTTTTTTTCTGTCTGTTTGGCAATTAACCATTCACTGGCTTTTTTTGTTGTAACATGCACTTCCTTTCTCTTGTTTTCATTCAAGCTGTATACGCCATGGAAATTAATGTGGAGAAAGACAAACAAACAGGAGAGACCAAGATTCTCTCTGCATCCACCATTGGCCCAGAGGGGGTCCATCAGAGAGGAGTCAAAGTCTATGATGATGGTACCAAAGTAGTGTATGAGGTGCACTCAGGAGGCACCGTGGTAGAAAACGGAGTCCACAAACTAAGCGCAAGGGATGTGGAAGAACTAATTCAGAAGGCTGGACAATCGAGCTTCAGGGGGCACATGTCAGAAAGGACTGTTGTTGCAGATGGGAGCCTGGGCCATCCCAAGGAACACATGCTCTGCAAAGAAGCCAAGTTAGAGATGGTGCAAAAATCCAGGAAAGATCACGCTTCGGGAAACCCCGCGCAGCAGGCCCAGCCCTCCGGCACGGAGGGGCCAGAGGCGAACCTGGATCAACCCGTCACCATGATTTTTATGGGCTACCAAAACATCGAAGATGAAGAGGAGACTAAAAAGGTGCTAGGCTACGACGAAACCATCAAGGCCGAATTAGTCCTGATCGATGAAGACGATGAGAAGTCTCTAAGAGAGAAGACGGTGACGGATGTGTCCACGATCGACGGGAACGCAGCTGAGCTGGTGTCCGGGAGGCCCGTGTCAGATACCACAGAACCCTCCTCCCCAGAAGGCAAGGAAGAGAGCCTGGCCACAGAGCCGGCCCCAGGTACCCAAAAGAAAAAGCGGTGTCAATGCTGTGTTGTCATGTGACCACTTCTTTCTCCTCCCCTTTCTTCCGGGCAGCCTCTCTACTCTCCACCTCTTAAGTAGACCTCACTGTACCACTAACTGCGATACTGTGAACTGGAAGCAGACACCTGCCTTGCCTCGCAGTTGGATTTGCTTTGATCTCTCACTCACATCTTTCCTTCTCACTTGGGAAACAACGTGCATGTGTGTGCTCCATTTTTTTTTTCTCCCCGAGAACTTACTTTTTCCTCTAAACCTTTCCTTGTGTCTTCAAGAGTGAATCAGTGCCCTACTGCTCGATGGGAGAGGACTCTTCATAGCAACTGGTTATCTAGTAGCCTTAATTGACTTGACTGGACTCAAACCCGTTGGCACCGGGGGGTTTTCATTTTGGCGTGTGTTCCTCTCACATAGACACACACACACACACACACACACACACACACACACACACACACACACACTGCCATGCCCCTGGCTTCTCACCTGCCTCTTTTGCTGTGTGGATCTTTGTTTTGTTTATTTTTTTTATATCTTGTGTAGCAGAATGCTGTGGGCTCTAGCCGGTTGCTAGCGTAGCCAAAAGCGGACCTACCCTACCTAATCTGGCTGTTCTAGGATGACACGTTTTTTCTTTGCTGCCTTACATAAGCTTCCAGATTACAGTATTGTGTTTTCCTTCTGTTAAAACCGAGATGAAGTTGACTCGAAAGCAAAGAACCCAGCGCCTGTCCCAGCTGAAGTGTAGGGACGGATTACCACCCGCCAGTCCGCAGCTCTCTCTTCCTCTGGCTTACCCAATGAACCCTTTACACGGGATTTTCTAAGGACCTCAGGCCACCACCGTTTTCAGTGTGTGTAGTGCTCACCAACCCATAGGCCTTGTCTCCACGCTCCCCCGAAATGTCAAGTTTTATATTGTTTCCTTTTTCATGGATATTTTCTGATTGAATTCATCTATTTTCAAAGAGGGGATCATTTTGAGAAGTCTCTCTGCAGTGACCATATTTCTTAAAGCAGTCTCTCTGACCTATGGGGGCTGTCGTTACACCCCCCACTGTATCCAGGATGGTGCTGTACGCATTAGCTGTCCATCTCCTGTGCCCGGTTGATTAGTCTCACATCTGTGCTTTCTTTTGTTTTTTAATGTCCCCATGGGTAAGAGAGTGTTTCAGGTAACCTCAAGGTGTAGGTTTCTCCACTCTTTAAAAAAAAAAAATCCTGGCTACTAGTAGTGGCACATGAGATGGATCTCTGTGAGTTCGAGGTCAGCCTGGTCTACAGAGTGAGTTCCAGGACAGCCAAGGCTACGCAGAGAAACTCTGTCTCAACAAAAAAACAAACAAAGGTTTTTCATTGTGAGAAATGTTGAAAGATAAAGAAAGATCTTAAATTCTTCCACATGGTCTGACTGAGTGGCACATTCCTGGGCTTCTTAAAGCTTCGTTTCAATTTCTGGAAATTCTAGAATATTGAGGAATTTTTTTTTAACCTAAAACATGATGAACAGACCTTGAAATACATTGTTAGCATTGCCCCAATCTGGACAGCCATGCATTTAGTGAAACCAAAGGGAAGGAATTTAGAAAAGAAAAGAAAACTCTAATACAGGAATAAGATGAGGTGGTGATGGTGTTAACTGTTTAATGAGAGGTGACTTTATTTACCCAGACATTCATAATAAGCATAAATTATGTATAAATCAATAATAGAATCATGTATGTTCCCACAGAATATAGCTTCAAGAACCATATACTCGACCTCCCACATCAAGTTTCAACATATCTAAAAAGTAGCTCAGAAAAAGTAATAATAATAAGGAAGCTTGAAGAATTGCAGAGGCAACTAAATTTGTCCCATTTAGCTTGTTGGAGGATAAATCTGTTGTTTTGTTCATTTCTTGGCTTAAAATTATATTTATTACGATTAGAGGAAAATGACTTTTTTTCCTCAAGTAGTTTCATTTTTATTGAGCACATGAGTCATTTTTAATCTTTAATATGTAAACAAGAAAAATTAAAGAAAGGAAGTGAACTAATTTCTCAGATGTCCCCTCCATGGTTTCCCTGAGAGAACTGGAACCTTACCCTAGGTCTGAGCTTCCGGAAAAGCAGCTGCAGCAGAGTGCAGTGACTCTGTTATCTGGAACCCTGGGTCAGTGTGCAGTGACTCTGTTATCTGGAACCCTGGGTCAGAGTGCAGGGACTCTGTTATCTGGAACCCTGGGTCAGAGTGCAGGGACTCTGTTATCTGGAACCCTGG